ACCTCTAGTAATATATTTACTGAGAAAAATGTTGACGTGTTCAATACTTATTTTACCCGCTGTATATCATCTTTTAATATAAAAGGACTTAAGAYCTGTTATTTTTACTCTTGAAGTACAAGACTGGTTGGGAGTTTAAGTGCAAAGATGAGTATTAATTTTGCAATTTTATTTGAATTTTTTTGTTCATAACACTCCAAAGATGTAGCACTTCGGTGTAAAAGAAATGAAAGGGGCTGGACTACCTGTAGGTGTGTGAAGGTGATGTTGACAGGACTGCTCAGGTTCTGGGTGGACGGATTAGAAACCACAACAGACACAACTTTAGAGAAAACCTGGAAGGACACGTCTTCTTCAGCTTTTTGGAGCTTCTCAAAAGATCTGTTCATAGATCCCTCAAGGTTCTTGTAGCTTAACAATGCAGCGAGCGCAAAACCTGTAAAGACACACTCAGAATGAGATCATGTCTTTGTATGAAGACCAAGTTCATTTATTAAAACAAACTTTACCAGGATATGGTCCTGTCCCTAGTGCTGTTGACCAATCAGTGCTCAGACTAGTGCTTCCACTGGTCAAATGGAGAGGTCCAGTTGGTCGACTTTTCCCTTTTCTTACAGCAATCTGTGCAACTGTTCAAGCAGATGTATCAAATAATGTTAATGCCTTAAAGATTTATCATCATGAGAGGAATTAAATTACGAGTCTTCAGATTAACGTGTATTACCCGTCTCCTTGGTCTCCATCTTGGTGGTGTTGACTTTGAGCTGAGGACCAATCAGTAAAATGGAGTTCTCCACAGCTCCGAGCAGCCCGCTCACACCTTTACTGCTCCCCACGGGTCCGGGGGACAGAACCTCATCAGTCGCCGTCAAAAGTTTCTGTTGCAGAGTATATGAGGAGAATTCAGAAAGCTGCAAAACCCATTTCATATATTAGGTCATTCGTGAAATATCTCCATAGCAATTTTTTCCTTTAACCCCCTTTTTTTTCCTATATACTTTAAAGTCATTTTTTTTTTAGATTTCAAGACAGCTTTAAAGGTTTAGTGCTCAAAAAGTGATGAAACAACACACTTTTTATGATTCTTACTAAGCAACACTATAAAAAAGAC